ACTAATGCCAAATGTTAATGGTCTCAACTCCCCAGTTAAAAGACACAGATAACCAGAATGGATCAAGAAACATAATCCAACTATACACTGTTTAYAAGAGACTAATTTTAATAGGCAAAGACATCCAAAGGCTGAAAGTAAAAGGATGACRAAAATATTCCATGCATATGTTCAAGAAAAAAAGCAGGAGTAACTATTCTCATATCTGACAAAGCATATTTCAAGCAAAAATTAATCAGAAGAGACAAAAAAATTCTACTACATCCTAGTAAAAGTAACAATCCAACAAAAAGATATAATGATAGTTAACACTTATTCCCCAAATGTCAATACTCAATTATAKGGAGCAAATACTCCATGACATTTAGCCTAATATATTAGACCTAACACAGTAATACTAGACCCTAACACACACACAGACCCTAACACAGTAATACTGAGTGATTTCAATAGACCCTATCACCAACAGACAGGCCATCAAAATATAAAATTGATAAGGATATCTCCAGCCAAAATGACACTATATGTTGAATGGACTTACCTGACATCTACAGAATATTCCACCCTAAAACAGCTGAATTTACCTTCTCAGATATGTGTGGAGCTTTTTCTAAAATAGATCATATTACAGGCCACAAATCAAATCTTAGCAAATACAACATAAGCAAACAAAAAATCCTATATAATCCATGTATTCTATCAAATCATAATGCAATGAAACCAGAAATCAACAGCAAGAAAAATAATAGAAATCACATAAACATATGGAGATTGACCAATACTCTCAAATAAATAATGGATGAAGAAAGAAATGAGAATAGAAATCAAGAAATTCTTAGAAATAAATGAGAACAGAGAGATCACATATCAAAATTTCAGTACAGTATGAAAGCAGTGCTAAAAAATATTTATAGCACTAAGTACCTACATTAAAAAATTAGAGGGCTGAGGCTGTAGCTCAGTGGCTGAGTGCTTGCCTAGTATGTGYGAGGYACTGGGTTAGATCCTTAACACTGCATAAAAATAAACAAATAAAATAAAGGCATGATGTCCACCTACAACTACAAAAAATTAAAGAGATCTGAGATAAATAAGCTTTTGTTCTACCTTGAGTACTTACAAAAATAACAAACTAACCCTCAAACCAGTAGAAGACAAGAAACAATTAAGACCAGAGCTAAAAATCAATGGAATTGAGAATAAGAAAACAATRCACAAGATCAATGCAATGAAGAGCTGGTTCTCTGAAAAGATAAATAAGATTGCAATCTGCATTTAGGGAAAAATTGGGAGTTCATAACCCACTTCAATCTAATGTATGAAATATGATATGTCAAGAGCTTTGTAATGTTGTGAACAACCAATAAAAAAAAAAGMAAAAAAAAAAAAAAGATAAATAAGATTGAYAAACCCTTAGCCAAACTGACCAAAAGAGAGTGCAAAGATACAAATCAATAATATCAGAGATGTTTATAGATTTCCTGGGCATATAAAAACACTACAAGGAAAACAGGAAGCATCAACATATGAGCACTGAACAATGAGACTTGTACTAGATACAACTCTAAMCAGATTTTTAGCACAGATATAAAAGAGGGAGCTGGAGCTAAAGGACAGGGGTCTGTGGGTTCAAATAAGAACTAGTTTTGAAGAGAGGAACTGAGGTAGAGAGGCAAAAGCAACCTAAAGAGGAAACATTAACAATGGTTTAGAACTAGAAAAGATAGCAAGGGGATTTTCACAGWTAAAAAGAAAATTTCTGGGAAAAGTAGATTAGCACAGGCCTTCTCTAGTGTAATGATCTGATAGTATAAATAGCAACTATTACTACTAAGACCTACCAAGTACTTTTATTAACTGCTACTGTGATTAATGTTTTACGTGTGACTTAATACAGAAAACTTGCAAGGTAGGGACACACCTCTTATTTTAGCAGAGAGGAAACTAAATGATGATAGTAGTAATAATAATAATAATAATAATAATAATAATAATAATAACTACTACTACTACTACTACTACTACTACTACTACTACAGGTGCCAGAATGTAAATCCTATTCTGAATAGTTCCAGTGTGTTTCTTTTCCATTATTTCTAGAGGCAGCAGTAAGTAGCAGATTAATTTTTATTAGTATATACACTACATACATGATATAACTAGGTAAAGGGGGCATTAGGTTAATAATTGAAGGTTAATGATTTATAATTTGTGTTAAAAAAACCAATTAAGCAGGTGATAAGAGAAAAAACTTTTATGCTAAAGACCAACAATTTATCCTGAATTAAGGTTCTATCTTTGTATAAAGAATGCTAAAAATTTAATTTTAAAAAGTTACTAAAGCTAGACATGATGGTGTRCACCTGTTGTTCCACCTACTCAGGAGACTGAGGCCGGAGGATCGCTTGGGCCTGGGAGTCTAAGATCAGCCTGGGTAAAATATAGTGGGATGCTGTCTCTTAAACAACAACAAYAACAATAACAACAAAAAGCCACTAAAAAGTAGAAGCAAACTTAAATTCTCAAAGTAAGAGAATACTTGGGCTGGGGATACAGCTCAGTTGGTAGGGTGCTTGCCTCACATGTACAAGGCTGAGGGTTCAATACCAAGCACCACAAAAAAAAAAAAAAAAAGGAAAGAAAAGAATACTCACATAATGTAATAGAGTATTGTGTAGCTATGAAAAAATTATAATAATATGAAAAATCACAGGTTAGAATGTTAAGAAATAAGGAGATGCAAATTATAATGATAATGAAAACTGCAAAAGTTACAAACGAATGAAAGGAAATTTGTTAAAACAGACAAAATCTGTTTAAAAACAGAAGCAATAATATGTGGATAGAGGTATAACAGGCAATTTAGTTTCTTCTTTTTTTGGTGGTACTAAAGATTGAACCCAGGGCYTCACACATGTAAGGTAAGTGTTCTACCACTAAGCTACATCCCTAGACCATGATTTACCTTCTTTATATTTTTTCCTATATTTTAAAAATATTTACCACAATGTGTACATATTTTTAAAACCAGGAAAAAAAGTAGTAACTAGCAAAAAAGATCTCTTTAATTTTCTTTTCATTCAATGACTTCTGCCTTAATACACCTTGACCTCTTCATCTGTCTGGTTCCATCTTACTATTTAATAGGAAGTGGGCACTCTCATGTATCTGTGCTTTATGGTTACTATACCCTGCAAAGGTGGCAAGGCTGAGTAAAAGGGCACCAGGCTAACAGTTGTTTTTACAAAGGTATTAAGGATCATGACTAAGCACACAGACTGAGTTAGAATTCTACTCTTATATTACTTATTTCTCTGAGGTTATAAATTTTCCAACATGCAAAAAAGTTAAAAAATATTTTTTTCTCATGCAGGATTATTATGATTTAATAAGCAAAAGCATGTAATATAATTGGCACAGAGGAAAATAAAAGATAATTATTACTTGGAAAGTGATGTACCCTTGTGTTACACAAAACAAACTAGACTCATATTTTTATCYGAATCAGACTTAATATGTCCTCAAAAGTGCAGTGACAAAACATTTATGTTCCTACCCTGTAACCTAAAGAGATGAGCATCGATAAGGCCTCTATATATTTGAAAGCTATTTCCTTAACTGCACTAGCCTATTTTGTTACTAGTRTACCTGCTCCATTTCTGTAGTCACTTAGAAGACTCTAAACTCATATCAAAGTATGTAAGTTACTCTTATATATAATTCAGAGCCTAGTATATTACCTGGGAATGTTTGGTCCTCAATAAGATGTTTGGTGAACAAATAAAACCTTATACTCTTTCAGTTGCAAAGATTGTATTTCTGTGCCTCCAAACATATTATATAAGATCCAAGTGTTGCCAATTAAAAAGAAATAAAATGTTATAGATTGGATATGCAATGTCCCCCAAAAAGCTTATGTGCTAAAGTATGAGCCCCAATGTTTCAAAGTTCAAAGGTGGGTCTTTTAGGCAAAGATTGGATCATGAGGGCTCTGAGAGATGAATGGACTCCTGGGAGGTGAGAAGGAAGTAGGTCAACAGAAAGGTTTATCTGCCTCTTTCTCTGCTTCCCAGCTGTCATATGCTGGGCAGCTTCCCTCTGTAATGTTCCACATTTCTGTCTAGGAGCCAGTGGACTATGAACTGAATCCTCTAAAAACAGTGAGCCATGATAAATCTTTCTGAATTGTTCATCAGGTATTTTGATCAGAGACACAAAGCTGACAGATACAACAAAGGAATCCAGTCTATTATAGTACCAACCACTGTCATTTCTGTTCTTCTAACCCACCTAAGCCAGAAAGAGAGGCCTAGTTCTGCCACAAGCGTCTCAACATAAGCACTCCAATCAAGGCACAGTGGAACAGTATACTGTTTAGTATTCTTTTTAAAATTTCATATTTCAGAAAAGTGGCCATATTAAATAGTAACTTAATGACATCCTTAGAACTGCCAGTGTGCACTGAAGAGTATGATGGCACTCCATAAATAAACAATCAATTCATGCAATTAAAATCAAACAACCACTATTTCTCATCTGAAAAATAGGAGTAATTACACCCTTGTAATAGGATTACTGTAAGGATAATGGGCATGGGATATATACAGCACTTAGAACAAAAGTAAGTACCAAATAAATGATACCTGTTATTAGAATACAGTCCTGAGGTAAACYGCATGCAGGGGTATTAACATATATCTTTGTATAAACTAATTTTTGAACAGCAAAACAGTCTAGTAACTTGAGGCTCATTTTACAATTACACTGTAGTACAGTTATGTTTTCCTTAGAACTGCACACTGGCAGTTCTAAGGATGTCATTAATGTATGAAACTTCAGTGAAAAAAGTTAAGACCTTTTTATATTTTTATTTTAATTTAGTATCTGAAATTTTATAATTTAAGTTGAATTTATATTTTATTTTCCATGACATAAAATTATAAAAAACTAAACCAAATGAAAATATTGATAAGCATTCTTTAAGACATTATATATTTTACCTGGCCATTTCCAAGCAGAGATATGTCTTTCCCCATTAGAAAATAGGATCCAAAGAAGAAAATAAAGGCATGAGTGAAACCCAGGATGGTCCAATAAAGAAATGTTTTAATGCTTAAGAGACTGTTTTTACTAATGTCCCTGTGAATTAAAAAAAGGAATACATTAGGATTCATATTTTACCTACAGAATAATTATTATAATTTGATAATTAAAAAAAACAAGGAGTTTTAATTTAAATTTTTAAGAAAATATTAGAATAATAAATATGCTCAAATTGACAAACCACCAGTTCTAGTAATAGCATACATAGGGGTAACAGCTTATAGTTCACATAATGAAATTCATACATTTTCTCATTTGATAAAGAAATATATGGGCATTATTACTTCAGTTTAGTTGTGAAAAGCTGATTTATCTGTATTGCATTCTGTTGATATTCAACCAGTCTGACTATGTCTCCTTCAAGTGAGGTCATTTGAGTTGGCTTCTGCATTGAGGGTCTTAATTAATAGCATTTTCAATAATAGTTATTATGGGGAAAAATAATCTGTGTTAATCTTGGGTTAAGCCCTGTGCTAGATAACCTGGGAAATCAAAATAAGTTATTTTATATTTGGATAACTGGATACACCTCTGAAAATGGTACCTTCGTAGCCTCTCTATAATAAGAGTTTTTGATGGGAACCTTCAGCTATCCCTGCCTGATTCCAGAGCTCTGGTGATAACTTGCTTCTAGAAAAGCAGGAATAAAGCAGAGAACAGGGATCAATATCGACTTGCATTTTGCATGGATTATCATTCATAAATTTGGCAAGAGTAAGACATAAACTAGTTCATAAGGAATTCTAGAGACTAACAATTACTGAAATAACTTGTCACACAAAGTAGAATATTACTGGTTTACAACAGGTAAGTACAAATTACACAATCACCCAAGGTATTAATGGAATGAAAGCATTCATTCTTAAAAACATAGGAAAAACTCAAAATTTCTCTTTGGTATTCAGCAACTATAAATCATAAAATAATCATGTTTAGTAAAATATTTTTATTTATTTATTTTTGTGGTGCGGGGGACTGAAGCCAGGGCCTCAATACCTAAGCAAGTGCTCTACTACTCTCCAACCCCTTAGCAGACACTTCTACATATTTGCTTATTTTTTAGGTACACGTTAAACTGCTAACCATTAAATACAATACTTGTAATCAGAAAACAATGGACACTTAAATGCTGGAAAATACTTACCGATAGAGGGTGGGCTTGTTCTGTAATACATGAGGGTCTATATGCTGTTCTAAAAGACTATATATCAGAATAGGAAGGGAAGTAAAACAAATATTGTATAAAGTCAGGTACACGCTGTCATACAGTGTCTAGAAAGAGAAATAAGAGGAAATTTTGACATTCTAAATTATGTATTCCTATTATATTTTTGTGTATAATCACAAATAAGCATGTTAAAAAAGCATAAAACTATAGTTTTTTCAATTACAACAAAATCTACTTTAATTATTATGATTATTTTTAGTTGTAGGTGGACACAATACCTTTATTTTATTTATTTATATGTGGTGTTGAGGATCGAACCCAGGGCCTCACACAATGCTAGGTGASTGCTCTACTGCTGAGCCACAACCCCAGCCCTCCAATTAGTTTTTTAAATGGACATTAACATATAGTGTTCCTAGATTTAAATTCTGTGTAGAAACTGAAATATTTTGCTATGTCAGTTGTTTTTGGAATTATAGTGAACTGGATCTATATTTCAAGATTCCCCACAACTTGGTCACTGTGATAATAGTTTTAAACAATTCTATATGCATCCTAAGCTTCTTATTATCCCTTCAGTATGCTACACATATAGTTTTGCTTTCATGGCTCGGTCTCCCCATCTACATCCCTCACTCTCTTTAGGACACTAAATAAATAAGTCTCAATTTCTTCCATGAAACTTTTCACAGTGACACAAGTCCTTGCTGATAGTGTTCTTTAAAGAGTCACAGATGCCACTGTTGGTACTAAAAGCTTAGCACTGTGCCTATGCTTTTATATGTTGTTTTATTGCTATTAATACTGACTCCCAAGTTATACTGTAAACTCCCTGAACATGTAATCAAAAAAGGTCAGGTCTCCTTGTCATATGGTCTTATAGCATTCTTTATTTCATTCAGGTAAACCGTTACTGACAATTAATGCCTACCTGAGTAGATATCTAAAATTTAGAGTTCAGCTTGTACACAGAGTTGAAAATAATAATTAAGGAGGAACAACACATGAAAAGAAAACCTAACAACTTAAGATAATTAAGTTCTTATTTTTTTAAATAAATTAGAAACCATGTCTTGCTCAATTTGATAAAGTATGGTATGTGAAAAGGGTGCTCAATTAGTCAGAAGCAATAGGTCTAAGTCATAGTTTAGTCATGAACTTAGCTATCTTATTTTGGGCAAATTACTTAATCTCTTTGAATTTCACTTTCCTTTTCTGTAAAATAAAACAGTAAATCAGGAATGGCAAATATGAGACATGTGCACAACTAAAGACCCACTCTGTGCCCATTACAATCACTAATAAATTACAGCATTTTCCCTCTCTTAAACTCCAGAAACCTTTTTAACATAGCATTCTAGGTGTTTCTATCAATTATTTACATTAGCTTCTGTGGTAAAACCTGTATGTCATCCCTGGACTAAACCACTAAAGTTCATAAAAAATTGTGAGTCATTGAGCTTAGTAGCTCAATGGTAGAGTGCTTGCCTAATATGTGTGAGGCACTGGATTCAATGCTTGGCACCACATAAAAATGAAATAAATAAAATAAAGGCATGCTGTCCATCTACAACTACACACACACACACACACACACACAAATTTTTTTAAATTGTGAGTCAAGAATTAAGATGAGGTGAACCTCTAAATAGTTATTTGGTGTGGCTTCATATGGATTCTATAGAAATATCACAAAATAATTGAAACAAATTATCAAAATTTTCTCACAAGCTGTTAAAGAGTTAATATCAATTCTTTAAAAAGCATCAGAATTTTAATATATTTTGTTATCAACATTTATCTCAAACTGAAAACTAGAATAAATAAAATTTATGAGTGATATGCTAATTGCTAATCAGAAAAGTTTTGTCTAGTTACTTACAGAACTAAGAAAAATGAAAAAAAAAGCATCATGAATTAAAATAAATTTTTGGTATATCAACATTAACTTTAGACTGAGAACCAGAATAAATATTATGCATGTTATGCTGACTAAGCATACTACTCAGAGAAGTTTGTATAGTTACCTGCAGGACTTAGAAAAATGAAAAAGTCCTTCTAGATATCTATCAAAATTTGAACACACTTATCTTATTCTAAAAGAGCAAAACACAAGCTTCTATTTACTTACTTGTTGAGAAAACAAACAGTAGAACTGATATAAAAATTGGGGTGTGATAAAGCACACATTCTGAAAAAAAAAGATTAAATGGAAAACAATTAAAATATTTTGGACTAAAAGAGAAAAAAATTCCTAAATATGGTAAAGGGTCCAGAAACACAATCTCAGTTAATATGGCAACCTGAGGATTTTTTTCATAAGGACTTGTCCACATAAAATGGGAAAGTAGGTTTCTCATTCTATTAAAAAAATACCTAAAAGCATTTGAAGGAGCAGTGTAGATATGAGAATGAACATATCCTCACCTCCCATCACTGCCAAGTAATACCATTATTTTGAATTTACAATCTTCCAATTCTCATTCAATATAGTTGAAACACAGTACAATAAGCAAGATTTACTTAATTTTTTGGGCCATGATAGCTTTACAATGCAAAAATATTTAAAGTACACAATAAACAGAACTATCAAAACATTTTGCAACCTCAATCTATTCTCATATTACAAGTAAAAGCCAGAACAGTAAATTAGAAGAAAACTGCCACATCATTTTATAGTAATATGTAATCTATGTTCTATCCTGRCCTATAGCTATAAATTATAAAAATATATGCAATATAAGACATTCTGGCATATTAAATGTTTTAGTAACAGAGGCATTTAACATGTTGTCTACAAATTCCCACATTTCCCAAAAGGTCCAGAGATAGAAATGTATATCAACATTTTAATTTGTAATCCTAAGTATTGCACTTTATGCATACAAAAACCCTGTACTGAGAAGCTCACCACCTTCACTAGCTTACTAACAGACCAATGATGGTAACAAAACAAAACAAATTTAACCTCTGCTTGAAATCATCATGTTGGAGTTAAATTAAAACTTATTGACTCAAGATGAGGTAACCTTAAGGAAATCAAACTTATTGCAGCTGAATCTGTACAGAATAAGACATCAATATAAGTGTAAGTTTTGATGTGTTTTGACAAATTTATATACTACCAACATCACCATAAAATTAGAGAACTCTCCCATCAAATCCAAAAGTTCTTTTATATTCCTTTCTAGTTAATTCTAACACCTATACTCTCGGTCCCAGAAAACTACTGATTTGCATTCTGTCAGTACATGTTAATTACAAAGGTACCGCTATTTTATTTACAGAAACTATTTTTTAAGAATAATTTGCAATGAATCAAAATGCATTCTGCTGTCATATATACCTAATTAAAATAATTAAAGAAAGAATAATTAATATGGTTATAACATTCCTTAAATTAAAATTTCAAATTACTACATCAATAATTGATCCTAAAAATCCATATAAAACTCACCTTATAAAAAAAATACTGTACAAGGGTAGCTATTCTAATATAATAAAAATGACCATGAACAAAAAGTAATTTGGAGAGGAATTTAAATCTGGCTATTGCATAGTCACTATTTCTTGCAGCCTGTCTTCCTTCTTTACCCATGATTCCTGTAATAAAGAAAACAAAAAGGAATGTCCAGTGATAACTCATAAGTTTAATTTTCATGAAATAGCTATAAATATCTTAAATATTTTAGTAGTTGAACCTGGACTTAGAAACACTAAATCCTAGTATACAGAAATTAGCAGCGATCCAAAAGGTTGTTCTACTTAAATGTGTAGTTTAATATAAAGCTGTAATATATACAAGACATATAACACCAATATTCAAAGAATTACAATATAAAAAAATACAATTAAAATAAAAATAATATTAAAAGTTCAGGATCTAGCAGAAGCATCAATTATTGTACCAATAAGCACAAAGTATTGGGTAATAAACATCTAATGAAAAGAGTGCTAAACAACTTTGTCTTTACTAGTTCTAGTGAATATAAAAAAGTTAAACTTGAACAACTTTGATGTAGTAAAAAATAGGCATATTTAGCTACTTCAAACTGTCATAAATAAGTCAAATGTGCTTTTTAAAAGAAAAATGTAAATTTAAAATAAATAAATTGAAAAAAATGTACCATCTGAAATCAGTGCATCATTTTATCTGAAAAAGAGTACTTTAGGTTACAATAATCCTTTAGGTTTCAAAAGAACAAATCAGAGATCACCATGTTTGTGTTTTTTGAYCCAAAGCAACTTTTAAAAATTATTTTTCAAAATTAACCTTTAAAATTTTTGTCATGGGGCTGGGGTTGTGGCTCAGTGGTAAAGTGTTCGCCCAGCATGCATGAAGTACTGGGTTCTATCCTCAGCACCACATAAAAATAAAATGAAGATATTGTGTCCACTTAAAACTAAAAAATAATTATTTAAAAAAATTATCATGAAAGTATCAAAATGTTCTAAAATGAAGAAGCAGAGAAAAAAATCTATATTCACAATACTTACGGGGAAAAACAATTTTTAGCCTCTATCCTCTTAGAATTTTTCTTTCTGTATTTTACATGCATGTGTAGATGTATTTAACATATATAAAAATGTGTACAAAAATGAGAGTATTTGTTTTGTAAGTTGAATTTGTTACTTTATAGATATAAACTTTATTGATGATATACATATCATTACAACAAGTTAATTATTAGAAGAAATTCCTGGGTGCACTATTAATCAAGARGCACAGAATTAAACTTTGTTGTCATGCACAATAATTTAGGGCATACTAGTTTACACTCTCCCTAAAGCTGTATAAAATCATTTTTTATTCTGTATCTTTGTCAACTTCAGATTTATCAATCTTTGTAATTGTTGCCAATCTGCTAGGCAATTTTAACTTACATTCCTTTGATTGTTACAGAGATAAAACACTTTTTTCATATACTTTGTATTCATCTTATACTTCTCATTTGGAACTCACATCTTTCCACATATATCTATTAGAGTGTGTCTCTTATTCTTGTTAATTTGTTAAGACTTCACATATTTAGAAGTATTAAGACTTGGTCATCTATTTTACAAGTATTCCTTACTAGTGTCGCACTGAAATTTGTTTTGGGGGAGATTTTACCTTTGCCAGACATACTAATTTTTTCTCTATAACAAGAAACTTCTTAAGCCAGGTGCGGTGGCGCACACCTGTAATTCCAGTGGCTCAGGAGGCTGAGGCAGGAGGATCACAAGCTAAAAGCCAGCCTCAGCAACAGCAAGGCACTAAGCAACTCACTGAGACCCTGTCTCTAAATAAAACACAAAATAGGGCTGGGAATGTGGCTCAGTGGTCAAGCGCCCCTGAGTTCAATCCCTGTATCCCCCCAAAAAACAAAAACAAAAAACTTCTCTCAAGTTCCTTGCTTTGGTATTGTAYTTAAGAGAACTTTCCACTACTCAAATGATAGAACTATTCATTACATTTCAATTAATTTTTATGGTGATAAATTATTTAAATCCTTAATCCATTTGGAATTTCTTTTGCTTTAGTAATAGAAGACTTAACTTTTTTCTTCTTTCCCAAATAACTAACCAGTTTAATCAACACTTTTTATTGAATAATGTGTTTCCTTTCTTATTTGAAACATCTCCCTTGTCATATATTAAGCAAATTTTTTATGCTTTAATGTATGATATATGAAATTATCAACTTATTATGGAGATTTAAGGGGAACAACAGTGTACAAACTAGAAAGAAAATTAAAATTTCAAAATGAACAGTTAATTATCCCAAAGAGGAAGGAGTTATTTTGAGGGATAAATTGGAAATAGTAGACTTGAAAACTGTCATAGGCAATAATGAAGACTATTACAGAACAAATGTTAGCCTAACTCTCAAATTTTATCCTTTGACAATAGCAAAAAAATCTATAACCATACTTTTCTCTTTGACTCTGTATTTATAAAATAAAATGACAGAAGAAGATAGTCAGAATATGTTAAAATAGGAAATGATTAATAATTTATTACTAAATTTATTATTTATTATAATTTATTACTAATACTAATGGTATTAGTACTCTGAACCCAATAAAGTCTTACACAAAATAGAAATTAGAATAAAGGCATTAAAATCACAAAATTATTTGACATTTTATCTTTTTACTATTGTTTAGTATTATTTCTCATCTCTAAATATTGTCTTCAAATGTGTTACAGAACCTTTAGTTTCACAAATAATCACAGTAATTCTAAAATAAGAATTTGGGGGCTGTGGCTGTGGCTCAGAGGTAGAGTGCTCGCCTAGCATGTGTGAGGCAATGGGTTTGATCCTTAGCACCACATAAAAATAAAATAAAGATATTGTATCCACCTATAACTAAAAAATAAATATTAAAAAAGAATTTTAAACCATAAGGGCAACCATGTATATCATAAATTTGTGGATAAAATAATGTGAAAGTATTTTACAAGGTACGAGATGGCATRTAAAAATAAAGTTATTTTTATTATAAATTAAAATTGGCAAAAATATGATTCACTAATGTAATATTTCCTTTAAAATTTATAACTAAAATATCCTAAATAGTGTGCCTAATTATAATAATTTCTGATGCGGATACACTAGACATATTACCAACGTTGCATTTAGTTTTCATTTATATATTTSACATTGTATTTTAATTTACAAAAGGAAAATCCAAAAACACCAAATAATTACAGACTTTAAAATTCAGGAAAAAAGTCAATCACCTATGCCAACATGTGCTTCTTGTATCATGCTTACATCATTAGCACCATCACCAACAGCCAGTGTTATAGGTTTCTCAGGTGAGATTTTTATTAGTCTTATTACCTGGAAGACATACAATGAATTATTTCTTTATGATAAAATTTTTGACTGTCTTGCATTGTGCAATGTCATTTTTCTCAAATGACTACAATAAGGATAATACTAAAAAATATTTAATTTTATATTAGATAATATTATGCACTGGGGTTCATTTTTTTGAGGAATGCCTCCAATAAGGTTTTAGGAATGTCTTTCAGAAATGTCATAACCAAACAGGGTATTATGTTTGAATTTTGAGTAATGACAAATAATTTTTAAAATGTATCTTAAATTTTCAAAAAGTAATAACTTGTATAAAAAATAAAATTATTAATAAATAACTTYAAATAATTGAATTGTCAGACAAAATGTTTTTTCTTATTCTTTYACTTGCTATCGAGGAACAACCATTGTTTTCTTTTGTAATAAGCAAAATCTGAAGTTTAAAAAAAGCAATCAATATTAAATTCAGATTTCTCTGACATTCTTGAATGTCCTTTTGTAAAGAACCTAGGCAAGCCACGCATGGTGGGGCACTCCTGCAATCCCAGCAACTTGGGTGGCTGAGGTTGGAGGATCAGAAATTCAAGGCCAGCCTCAGCAACTTAGGCTCTAAGCAACTTAGTAAGACCCTGTTTCAAAACAAAAATAAAACATAATAATAAAACATAATAATAATAATAGTAATAATAARAATAAAAAAGGGCTGGATGTGGCCTAGTGGTAAAGCACCCCTGAGTTCAATCCCTAGTACCAAAAAAAAAAAGGAAATAACAAGAACCTAGGTATTAACTCTGTTTGGTCTCCAGTTTCAGTATCCATAGATTGGTTGTGGTGTTTTGAAATGAAATGTACCCAAAGTCTCATGTATTGAAGGCTTGGTCCCCAATGCAGTAATGTTCAGAGGTGGGGCTTTTAGAAAATGGTTGCATCATGAAGACTCTAACCTCATCAGTGAATTAATCCATATGGGATTCATAATTAAAATGGACTACTGGGAAGTGGTGGAAACTGTTGGAGGTGGGATCTAGTTGAGGTGAGGCGTCTTTCAGTATATGCTCTTAGATGACTATATCTTGTCCCCAGGACCCCCATCCCCTGCCTTCTGGCTGTCATGAGCTGAGCAACTTTCATAAGCCATGTTCTTCAACCAGGGAAGTTCTGCCTTGCCTCATGCCCCAAACAATAACCACAGACTGAAGCTTCTGAAACAGTCAACTAAAATAAATCTTTCCTGCTCCAAGGTGTTTTTCTCAGGTTCTGTCACAGTAACAAAAAGTTAACCCATTAGGATATGTGAATTATAATGTGTGCACTATAATGAAATTCCTTAAAGCCCCCCCAAAATTAAATTATCTRATTTATTAAGACTTATATATGAAACAATCCGTATTTAGGTGTGCATTGCAAGAGATATTTATGAAGAATATAGCCTAAGTCCTAATGTGGGATTACAAAAAATGTTTGCATAGGCTTTCACTTGAATCACAGGTAGCTAAAAATAAATATTTCCTATACATAATAGCTATGCATTACAAGTGAATTGGCTTTTTAACTTTTTACTAAAGTCTATTTATCACTTRATAGCCACTTTTAACAAAGAATTATCAATTCATGAGAATGTAGAAATAAGCAGAGATCAACAGAACCATCTGAAAGTGCAGATGAATTCAAGACTCCTAGGCTCTTTCACTAAGTAATTTGTTCAATGTTAATTATCAAAGTTCAAATTTGTGTTTGGCAAGAWCACAAACTGCTATTTAGTACAGACTTTCTGCGTCATTATGAATACGTGAAACTTCAATATGTACTCTTTTGAGAATCCTAAAAATTAAATGGACATGATTAAAATTCATAATATGGGAAGAGACKGGCTCCTAGAAAGATTCATATACTGCATACCACCATATTGAAACTATTTAGGCATTAACCTTAATATTTTTRGATCTAAATATCTTTATGGAACTTGTAAAATATACATACTTTTGCTTTCTGCAGTGGTGCCATTCTACAGCATAATACAGCTGAACAATTTCTGCAAACTTCCATAAATAGTTTTTCATGTTCCCTGAGTGCAAGAGATAGGCTGGTCCCATCCACTACCAGCCCATGCTGAATCACATGATCCTCTGTAATTCTGAAAGAGAAAATATATCCTCTGTAAGACAGAACAAAAAATTCTTTCTTTAAGATGGATAGTTCAACCATAGACTTAATTGTTATAAGATTGACATGCCAGGGAAGAAACTCAGTTGTATTATCTGTCAACAATATGATGAATAAAATAAATGGATATTCAATTTTACAAMAAACTGATATATAAATATTGTATCAGTCCTAAAATGTGAATTGTAACATACAATCTGAGGATATGTTTCAAAACTGTATGAAAAATACTTACAAAAATACAAGCATTATTTTTTACATATATTTAGTAAATCCTGACTTTAAAAGGTTAAATGAAATCAAGAATGTTTAGGAAAACCCATGTACTACAGTCAATATGTGTAAGTAGGAAGGAAAGAAATGAAGCAATAGTAATGTCCACTGATACTAATTCCTATACTGGATTGTAATGCCAGATGTTACTATGGTGGAACAAAAATAACACCCTACTTGTGGGGATACAATAAACAAATGTTACTCAGGGTATGGTCTGCTTACTAGCATTTGGTCAAACTATTTGTTGCTATAAAGAGGTAACGAGGGTACACTAGTAAGGAATCAACTATATCACTAAACATATTATTTTGTACAACTTTTTTCTTCTAATCCTCCTTTGGTAATTAGAGTTTCTTTTTCTTTTCTTTCCCTTCTGGTATTGAGGATTGAACACAGGCATGCTCTACCATTGAGCTATATCCCCAATCCTTTTTATTTATCATTTTGAGACAAGGTTTTGCTAAATTGCCTAGATTGGCCTTGAACTTTCAATCCTCCTGCATCAGCCTTCTCAGTAGATTAGGTTATAGGTGTGTGCCACTGCACAYAGCAGTTATAGGAGTTTCTTGATAAAGTAATATACAGATTTACCTCTGGTGCACACTCCTTTATGTTGTGAAAGCCGGCACTCAAGGTAACCCTGTGTTAAATACACCACAAAGAAAGTACTATAAGGGGGAAGGGAGGTAGGAATGGCAGTGGAATGAGATGGACTTCATTACTCTAAGTACATGTATGAAGACATGAATGGTGTGACTCTGTGTTGTGTACAATTAGAGATACGAAAAATTGTGCTATATATGTAAAATTAATTGAAATACATCCTGCTGTCATATATAACAAATTAGAATAAATTAAAAAATATTATGCTAAGCAAAAGAAAAAAGAACTACAAATTCACAGGATGCTTCTGAGAAATATCCTTCCAYTTTAAAATGAGATATAAAAAAATAATAAATAAGCAACAAGCTATAAAATCTAACCATTGAGAGATTTTAGTCTTATAATAGAAAAATCTTTCATAAGTTAAAAGGATGCCTTTTGTATTCTGTCTAATCATTATTGTGTTGCACTTCATTTAGGCAATGTATTCCACACCATGAAAATCTTTAAAATGTCTATATTTTCCATATTTTTGTTAAAATTTAAGAACRGATACATATGAAAGTCTATACACCAAAATCCTATTCACAGTGGTCATATGAGAAACTGTATTTCACCAAAAAGATACATTTCTAAAATATAATATAAATTTTACATAGCAAGTGCTTGGTTTGTCACCTCCAAAGTTGGTGAAACTTAATCCTCATTCTGATGGTACTGATAGGTGGGATTTTTTGGGAAGTGATTAAGACATGAAGGCTCTGCCCTCATGGATTAYTGCTCTGATAAAAGAGGCTTCAGAGAATTTGCCCTTAAGGCTGGGGATATAGCTCAGTGACAGACTGATTGTCTAGCATGCCATGAGGCCCTAAATTCAATCCCCAGTACCAGCAAAAAGGAAAACAAAACAAAACAAAATAAAAACACTGAATTTGCCCTCTCCTGTCCTTTATTCCATAACTTCTACCCAAATAAGGTGCATCTTGGAAGCAGGGAGCAGCCCTCACCATGTAACCTGCTTGTGTGTTGATCTTGGATTTTCCAGACTGTAGAACTATGAGAAGTAAGTTCTTGTTCATTATAAATTACCTAATCTCCGGTACTTGGTTATAGCAATGCAAACAGACTAAGATAATAAGTCTAAAATTTACTATATGTAAATTTTAAATTTAGGTTACTTTATGTAAATTTTTAGGTTTTAACCTATAGAACATGGAATATAATATGTGTATACTTTTTACTTAATAATACAGTTTTTGTAGAAAAAGGGAAATGAATACTAATGATCATAACACATTCATTAAAAGTACATATATAGTAGATATAAAGAAAATATGCTAAATATATTTAGATGTTTGTATTACATTATTAACCAATATATCTTTAATTTTCACTATTTTTCAAGTATACAATTACTATTTTTATAATCAGGAAAAAAAATTTTTTAATAGAGAGAAAGAGAGAATTTTTTAATATTTATTTTTTAGTTCTCGGCAGACACAACATCTTTTATTTTATTTTTATGTGGTGCTGAGGATCGAACCCAGGGCCCTGCGCATGCTAGGCAAGCGCGATACTGCTTGAGCCACATCCCCAGCCCAGGAAAAATATTTTTAAAAGCATAAATAAAGTACATGATTTTAAGCAATTGATTTCTATTTTGGGGGGAGTTTCCTTGACATTATGGTATTCAAATACTTAAGCAACCACAATGATGTTGACTCTAATTGTATAATTACCTAGAACAAGTGCCTTTTTGTATTCAAGTAAAGATTCTTTTGGCATTCTTTTGTACTGTCTTTTAAAAATATCCCTTCAAAAAGTTTTTTTTTTTTTGATGAAATCTAGTCTTTAGTACCACATCAATGCCTACATAACAAACATAAATGAAACACTGAATGAATATTAACAATTATGGCCCTGTCTTTTTGGGTTTGTTTTTCTGAGTTAAAAATCACAAGACTACAAATTACAAATACCTGTAGGAGACCTAATTTGTCTACATACAACTGGCCCTGATGCTCACACTAAAGCACTCCTAAATTTATTATGAAAAATTAGATGGTTAGGGCTGGGGTTGTGGCTCAGTGGTACAGTACTCGCCTAGCATGTGGGAGGTACTGGGTTCGATCCTCAGCACCACATAAAAATAAAATAAAGGCATTGTGTCTAAGTACAACTAAAAAAACCAAAATATTAAAAAATAAATTAGATGGTTAAATGTAGACACTTAAATAAATATGAACTACCTCTAAAAAACAGATTTGTAAAAAAGATAATTTAGAGCTGGGCACAGTGGCACATGCCTGTAATCCTAGCAGCTCGGGAGACTGAGGCAGGAGGCGAGTTCAAAGCCAGCCTCAGCAACTTAGTGAGGTCACTAAGCAACTCAATGAGACCCTATCTCTAAATAAAATGTAAGAAAAAAGGGCTAGGGATGTGGCTTAGTGGTTGATAGCCCCTAGGGGTTCAATCCTCAGTACCATAAAAAAGATGGTTTAGAGTATAAATTATTCTTATGAAATAATCTTTCAACAGTAAAATGCAGATTTAATTTCCCAGTTTGGCATGTGAACTAGACAAGGAGTTAGCAAATGTTTTTGGAAAGGCTCAGAGAGCAAGTATTTCAACTTCAGGCTTTGTGGGTGGAAAGGTAAAATTAAGGATGTTATATAGGTACTTATATGATGAGAGAAAAAAGAAATTACAACAATGTAGTAAAAATTCAATACAATTTTCTTTTATAGCAGAAGCCTATTAATAAAAAGAATGATAATCTTTTTTTAGGGGGAATAATATTTTGCTAAAGTGGAGTTCAAAGTTTATGTTCCCTACTATTAAATAATTACAAATGTTCATCTATTAATACTGACTGCTGATCTGTAATGAGTCTTGATATTTTAATACAATAGAACTGTATTATGAGATTTTGGAATTGATCTTTTTTCTTTTTTTTTATTGGTTGTTCACAACATTACAAAGCTCTTGACATATCATATTTCATACATTAGATTGAAGTGGGTTATGAACTCCCAATTTTACCCCAAATGCAGATTGCAGAATCACGTCGGTTACACATCCACAATTTTACATAATGCCCTATTAGTAATTGTTGTATTCTGCTACCTTTCCTATCCCCTACTATCCCCCCTCCCCTTCCCTCACATCTTCTCTCTCTACCCAATCTACTGTAATTAATTTCTCTCCTTGTTTATTTTCCCATTCCCCTCACAACCTCTTATATGTAATTTTGTATAGCAATGAGGGTCTCCCTTCATTTCCATGCAATTTCCCTTTTCTCTCCCTTTCCCTCCCATCTCTTGTCTCTGTTTAATGTTAATCTTTTCTTCCTGCTCTTCCTCCTGGAATTGATCTTTAACAAAGTAATTTCAAACAGGTGGTCCAGCTAAATACCACTGCATAATAAAATGTTTTACAATCTAATTCAACAATAAAGTAATCCCCACTACATTGTGCCTTAAAAATTGTAATATTAGAGTCCATTTTTCTTGTTTTGTCATGATGATTATATACTGACAATAAATAAAATGTCAAAATATGGTACCAGGCATGGCACTCAAAACATTGTTGAGTTGTAACTATGTCACTGTGATTTGTAGTATACCAGCACCRGTGTGAAATGATGAGAGGACTTTATAAAGTTTGTTGCAACTACTCAACTCTGATGCTGCAATGATTATGACAGTAGGTATACAAATTTATGTGGTTGTATTTTAGTCAAATTTTATTTACTGACACTGAAATCTGAATTTCATGTAATTTTCATGTCATGAAATATCATCTTTGGATTATTTTTTATCCATAAAAAATGTAAAAATTGCCTTTAGCTCATGAACCATAAAAAATGGACAGTGGTAGTAGGTCATTCCTGACTTGTAGTTTGTTGCACTACAGTTGGTTGATCCTAAAGGGGATCCAGATATCTACGTTCTTACCTTCTGGCAAGTTGCCTCAATTGTTCAGCACATTCATTGTCTGACTTTTGGTTTATAAGTTCAAGGATGTTCATAGTTCTATGAAAATGTCCACACGATAAACTCACACTAACAGCTGTTTCATGTTTATCTCCAGTAAGTACCCATACTTTGATACCAGCCATTCTCAATGCTTCAATAGTTTCTCGAACTTTATCTTGTAGTCTGAAAATGAAAGTCACAAAATGGGATAAAKAAAATATTTTTCTGACTAATAAATATAAACTACATAGTATGTGTAAAGTCAAGTCTGAACTCAACCTAGGCATGTTAGAGCATAGCAATATAATTGAAAATTTCTCCTATTAGGGAGGAAACAAGAATAAACTGACTAATGATCATCTGGCTCACCTAAAAATCAATTAAAATCTGCAACTTCACATTTTAAGAGTCTATCTTCAAAACTGAATTTTATGAGACCAAACTATGTGGTCTTCATAAACTCCTATTTTATTAGGAAGTGCTTACTCCCCGACTCACAGCCCTGCACCGTTTGGCAGTGCTGAGAATCAAACYCAGGGCTTCATGCTTACTAGGCAAGTACTCTGCCACTGAGCTATACCCCCCTGTGCCCTAGAAAATCTTAAATTTCAAATCAAAAGATTTATATTTCTGTTTTTCTTTTTGACAAGAAAATCACTCTTGTAGTTAAAWAACCAGACTGTGGAAAACAGAGGCCTATATAACTTCAAGTGAATCTAAGAACTCTTATGAGTAGAACTAAAAAACAAATAAAAATCTAGAATAAAAAATATATAAACACCCTTAGATCTAGGGGTAGAAAAATACAAAACTACAGGCTTAATATAGAATTAAATTTATTGCAAGAAACATTGAGAGATACTTGGCAATAATGACAAATAAATGGGATGCAAGGAATTCACAGGCTAAGGGAATACATATATAATAAAGTACCACAGGAACAATGGAACTACCTAAAAACATGGTGACTTCATGAAGAAGAGAATTTTTAATACTGTCAGGTGTCAGGAAAGATCTTATTGAAGTGAGGTTAATATCTATGCTATATTGTGCCTTAAATTTTGTGGAGTTCAAAGTGTACTTTATGAATAAGTATTTGCAGATGGATACAGAAGGGAAGAATCATCCAGGCAGAAGGCACAGCCTTGCTAGGGTAACAAGGGTAAAGTAGAATATTTTCTAACTATAGTCCATGTGTAGAGAACTATAGTCAGTGTGGTATCATTGAGGCATAAAGTAGAAAGGAACAGTGTTGGGAGGTCTGGCTGGAGAAGTAGGCAGGTAATTTATGTCTTTGCATGGTACATGCTGAAGAGTATTCAAGACTACAGGGAGAACTACAGACGAGTGCTTTTTAAAGTCCATCTCAGATGTTTGGCTAGAACAAAATATGATATACTGATTGGGAAAAATTAAGACTTTAATTCTCTATTTTGATTTCACTTTTTTTTTTTTTAAATTTTTGGGCACCAGGGATTGAACTCTGGTGCACTCAACACTGAACCACATCCCCAGCCTTTTTTGTATTTTTTATTTAAAGACAGGGTCTCACTGAGGTGCTTAGTGCTTTGCTGGCTTTAACTCATGATCCTCCTGCCTCAGCTTCCCAAGCTACTGGGATTACAGGCATGCACCACCATGCCCAGCTGATTTTAAATATTTTTATATTTTGATTTTAAATATATCAAAATAGGCTGTTAATAAGCAGAACTTAATTCATACATTAGAAACTTGGCTAAAATACTTTTATGAGAGAAAAGTGATAATTGTTTACTTATTTGTTACTTACCTATCTTCCACTGCTGTAGCTCCAAGTAATATCAGGTCTTTTTCTATAAACTGGAAGACATTAGCCAATTTCTCTTCCCGTTGCTGCAAGGCAGTCCTGGCTTCAAAAAGGCGCCTATCTATTTCTTCATACTCTTTAGATGTAAATTGTCTAAAGGCTATACACAGAGTTCTTAACCCTTTCTAAAAACAAAACAAAACAAAAAAAAAACAATTAAAGACAAAAATTGATGACAAATAACTAATGAAAAATGAAATTAACTGGCATACACTGAGGACCCTGAGTTTAATCCCCAATATCAGAATAAAACAGAAACTCAATAAATAAATAAATAAAATAAACAACAAAAGTATCACATTACCAAAAAAAATCAATTATGAATAACTTAAAAAGTACTATCGTCTCGTTAAGTGAGGAAATAAATGTCACAAAGCCCTCATGATCTGAGTTATGGGTCCCACATCAGCCCTCTTTGAATTTCTGATAATTTCTTAAAAAGTTGCTCAAAATAATTAAGTTTATTGGATTGTACAATATTAGAGCCTAGAAAGGACTGCAAGGACTATCTTATTTATAGTTTTAAAATGGTTACACAGAAAGCCAGAAAGTTCTATAATGATGCCTTCATGACTCTCAAGAAAGACAGTACAAGGTTTTATTCACTTGGTTGAACTTACAAATCTGCTTTCATTTTTAGGCAAAGGAGACTATAATTTTCTGACAGTTTTTTGTGTGACAAAGTCTGACATTCAAATAAAGAAGTCTGTAAAATAGTTATTATCAAACTATATTTTCTAGATCTACCAAATTAACAATTAAAATTTGAAATAATATCGTTTTGTCTTTGGTAGTGAATTAAAATTTTCAAAACTTAGACATATATATTTGATTATTTGATTCCACTGGGATCAAAGTTAAATCTCTGAAAGCTGGTATCTTTAAATCTAAAGGCTTATAAAGTTCCTTTCCTTGCTGCATATTTTACTCAGGAAAACCCATCATACTTTTCTAATAATGGCAGAAAGGGTAGATTTTAAAAAATACTACATGAGGGGCTGCAGTTGTGGCTCAGGGTAGAGTGCTTACTTAGCATGTGTGAGGCATTGGGTTCGATCATCAGCACCACATAAAAATAAATAAATAAAATAATGGTATTGTGTCCATCTACAACTGCCTCCCAAAAAAATTTTTTAAAAATATCATATGACTATATTAAGCAAATTTCTAGACACTGGCATTCCCTGATTTATAAATGATTCACACCTAAAAAGAACATGTTTCATGAATAACAGGGGGTATCCAGTTATTAATATATGAATCAATTAGTTCATTAAAAAACAAATACTGACAGTCAACTATGTGCTGGCATTTTTCTGGACATTAAAATGAGGACTCTTTCTTTTTATAAGAATCACCTKAATTCTTTTATTTTTTTTTTAAATAAGGGATACAATTTGCATTCTATAAAATTTACCCTTTTAATTTGAAAAAGTACAAATCAGTGATTTTTAATATATTCACAAGTGTGTAATCATCACTGTTAATTCCAGAATACTTCATTACCCCACAAAAGGAATCCCATACCCATTAGCAGACAATCCTTTCTCTCCCTTTCTTCTAGTTCCTAGGAACCATTAATCTGCTTTCTTGAAGAATCTGCTTATTCTGGATATTTCATGTAAATGTAACATGACCTTTTGTGAGTGGCTTCTTTCATTCAAGCAGTCTTTTCAAGGTTCATCCATGTTGTGGCATGTATCGGTATTTTTTTCCTTTTTTTTTTTTTTTTTTTGTACCAGGGATTGAACTCAGGGGCAATTRATCACAGAGCCACAACCCCAGCCCTATTTTTTGTATTTTGTTTAAAGACAGGGTCTCACTGAGTTGCTTAGTGCCCTACTTTTGCTGAGGCTGGCTTCGAACTTGGGATCCTCCTGTCTTAGCCTCTGGAGCTGCTGGGATTACAGGAGTGCATCACCRTGCCTGGTTCAGTATTTTACTCCTTTTAAAGGCTAAACAATATTCCATTAAATGGATAAATCATATTTTGTCTATCCATTCATTAATTGGGCCTCTGAGTTTTTTACACTGTTTGGCTATTAGGAACAATGCTGCTTTTGAACAATCATCTATAAGATTTTGTGTAGACAAAGGTTTTCAAGTCTTTTGAGTATATAATTAAAAATAGAATTGCAGGGTCAAATAATAACTTCATGTTTACCTTTTGAGGGACTGCCAAACTGTTTTCCCAAAGAAGCCATGCCACTTCTCTTCCTATCAGCAATGTATGGGGGTTCTGGTTTCTTCACATTTGAATTTCCCTATATTTCTTTAGTAACCCCCTTTCTAGGGAGAAAACTAAGGCACTGTGCATGCTAAACATGCACTCAGCCCATTTTTTTTTTTTTTTTAAAGACAGGATTTCACTTTTAAGATATAGACTGATCTTAAACTCTTGGGGCTCAACCAATTATCTTGCCTCAGACTTCCCAGTGGCTGGGGCTTTAGGAACTGTGCCTCTTTTTTATGGTGCTGCTGGGGTTTGATCCAGGTCCAAGAATAGGTGAATGCTCTACCCCTGAGCTATATTCTTAACCCTAAACATTTTTTTTTTAATTGCAGTTTGAGTAACCAAAAGTGCCTGGACTGTAACAGATTTTTTAAAAAATATTTATTTTTTAGGTGTAGATGGACACAACACAATGCCTTTATTTTTATGTGGTGTTGAGGATTGAACCCGGGTCCCGCCAGTGCTAGGTGAGCACTCCACCGCTGAGTCACAGTCCCAGCCCCTGACTCTAACAGATTTGAAGAGAAGACTTACATTTTAAGCAGATAATAATTTTTTTTTTTTTTTTAGCTTTAGATGGACACAATACCTTTGTTATATGTGGTGCTGAGGATTGAACCCAGTGCCTCACATGTTCTAGGCAAGCACTTTACCACTGAGCTACAACCCTAGTCCCACAAATGAGTTTTTATGTAAAGAATAGGAAGTCAAAAGTGCAATAGAGTGAAGAATTTCATAATTTTTGATGAATATTTTTCTTATTTTTTACAGTACTGGGGGTGAACCCATGATCTCATGCATGCTAAGTAAGCACTCTATTGCTAAACTACAATTCTAGCCTTGACAAATTATTTTAAAAGTGAAGGAAGGGACTGGGATTCTGGCTCAGTGGCAGAGTGCTTGCCTCACATATATGAGGCACTGGGTTCGATACTCAGCACTACATAAAACTAAATAAGTAAATACAGGTATTGTCTCCATCTACAACTAAAAAAAATTTTTAAAAATGAAGCCCAAAATCTTTTATAAATATATCTTTTAGAGTTTGTTGGTTTATAGCACAGAAATTTATACTCACCAAAGCAAATTCATCTACATGAATTCTGGTTTTTTCTATTTCTCCACCTATACATTTTGGAAGAATTGATGATTCAGCTCCTTTAGCAAATAAAAGCTTCTCACCTAAAAGAAAAAAACAGGTTATAAAGCTCTTAATACTAGGTAAATTAAAGTCATAAAAGTTCAGATTGGTTACCTGAAGGTGCTTGAACAATTACACTCATTCTCCTACGATCTGAATCAAATTCCAGAATGTGAAGCAATTTGTACCTAAAAAGGAAAAAAAAAAAAGACAAAAACCTTACTCTTCCTATTAATGATAAGTGAAAATTTGGAAAAAATCCCTATAAAAAATAAAACACTATTTAAAATAACAAATTAATCTCAATTACATTTTCATTTCAGATTTAGACTATTAAACTCAGAAAGATTAAGTAATTTTCATAAAGTTAAATAAGCTTGTGAGTGGGACAGCAAGCACTAGAATCCAGATCTGCCCAGTTCCATGTTTTTCTCACTAAAAAAAGGTGAATTATTTTCAACACTTATTTTGACAAGTGCAACAACACACATTACTATCAGAGGTTCACCAGAGGAGTGATTCTGAGCCTGGTTGTGTATGTGAACAGATACCTCTTCATGGAGTTAAAAAAGAATTTGTGTGAATAGGTGATGGCTTGAAAAATCCAGGTAAAYCTTGTACAATGATGGACATATGAAATACCTTCCACATCTCATAGAATAACACTGAGATGAATGATGATTTTAAGTTGATGAAATGACCTAGACAGGCTGCCACAGAAAGTACCCAAAGAATGGACCCTATATTTGTAAAAGCAGAGTTTGGAAAAGGATAACTAGAGCTGAAATATATTCATAACTGATAAAACCACAAAAGGTATAATAGGCATGGATTAACTTATCAAAGTCGAAATAATGGCTATGAGACTGCTGTTTTTTAATATCTGAAACACAAAACCACAGGAAATAGGAGGATAGTTGGGTTGGGGTGTAGCTCAGTGTAAAGTGCAGCTAGMATGTTTGAGGGCCTGTTTTGATCCCTCCTAGCTCTGCAAGAAAATAAACAAACAAGCAAGTAAAATAAATTTAAGAAAAGTTTTCTTTATTCAATGAGTAAAAACCAATGAAACCCAACCCCAAGAGTGTCTAAAAATAAGCATAGCTGTAATTCAGGAAAAGATTTAAAACAGAATATTATTATAACTGTGAGGAGATACAATGTGATATTGACATGACTTTAGAGCAGAGAATGGCAAACTTTATGTGAACCAGATAAGTAAATATTTTACAACTTTGCCAGCCACTTGCAGTCTTTGCTGCATATTCTTTCTTTCTTTCTTTAAAAGACAATGCTTTAAAAACATAATGTCATTTACAGGCTATACAAAAAACCAGACTGGAGGTCAGAATTGACTCATGGGCTATACTTATTGATCCTTGTTCAGTACTATATACTTTGTATAGAGAATACCACTACATATGAAAAAATTACCGTTCCAGTTTTCCAAGTATTTTAACTTCCATAGTTTCTTCAGAATTGCCAATAAACACAATGCCAATTCTAGGGATTAAAAGAACAAAGAAATTTAAGAATTAATGGATGATATTTCATATTTAAAAATATAATTAGCCAGGGGCTGGGGTTGTGGCTCAGCAATAGAGTGCTCACCTAGCACGATTCGATCCTCAGCACCACATAAAAATAAATAAATAAAGGTATTATGTCCAACTACAATTTATTATTTTAAAATATTTAAAAACATGTTATTAGCCAGGCACAGTGCTGCATACCTATAAACCCAGCAGCTTGGGAGGCTGAGGGCAGGAGAATCATGAGAATCATGAGAATCATGAGTTCAAAGCCAGCCTCAGCAATTTAGCAAGGTGCTAAGAAACTCAGTGATACTCTAAATAAAATAGAAAATAGGGCTGGGGATATGGCTCAGTGGTCAAGTGCCCCTGATTTCAATCCCTGGTACCAAAAAAAAAAAAAAAAAAAAAAAAAAAAAAAGACATTATTATAACTTAGCTTAAGTGAAAATATTTAAAATGAARGTTTAAAATGTACTTTAAAATGTTTTMTTTGAATAAATCATTATTTTTAAGAACTTGAAGGATCAGAGAGGTCCAGAATAATACAACCATAAGTATTTCTTATAACTTTTATTATAGTCTTCATGGTAACCAGAGATTTAGAGATCTTAGAAAATTCAAAATGATGAATTTATGCTTGAAAATTTTAAATKATGGTTTTCTAATATTCTAACATTTACTTAAAAGGTTGTTTTCTGAGGGTTAGGAAATTTGATTCAATTACCTTGCAGCAGCTTCCACTAGAGCCTTTTCATCTGGTGAAGATGCATAATATTCCAACTGGGAGGGWGCCAGGTTGGATTGCCAGGGGCCATCACCAATGCCATCAGTGTGAACATTGCTGATCTGAACAGTGTGGCAGAGACTGACTGCCTTAAAGAAGAGATCGTGTTCTTTAATCTGTAAAAATACAATAATCGATGATAAAAGCAGCGGTCCCCAATATCATTAAGGAAACTACAGACAGAATCCTAAGAGCTAAAACAAGAAAGAGTCCAATGACCCAAAGAGCCATGAAACATCACATTGGCTTAAGATCCTTCAACATATGTGCATCTTTTTAGAAGGTATAACCAAACTGCAAGTAAAGGAGAATACCTTTTTGTGGACAAAGTGAGGACTCAAAAAGTGTTAAATACATTTAAGCTTTATTTCTCAGTTTCTTTACTTCAAGGGAATAACAGMTTTTCTTAACTCTGTTTCATTTAAATACCTGGAGAACTCAGACTAACACACTTGAAGTGACAAGTTAAATTGGGCTGAAACTAAAAATTCTTAGGCTTATATTCTGTAGTATATTCAAATATATACATTACAAATATTCATTCCTTGCTCCAAAGATACAAAGTTTTCCCCCACAATCCATCAACTGCTGAAGAGAATTAATGCATATGCAACACTTATTTYTTTATTTTTGGTAATGGGGACTTAATCCATGGGTGGCTTACCACTGAGCTATATCACCAGTCCTTTTTATTTTTTTTATTATTTTTTTTTGAGACAGGATCTTGGTAAGCTGCTCAGGCCAGCTTCAGCTAACTAGGATTTTCTTGCCTCAGCCTCTCAAGTTGCTGGGATTACAGGCAAGTACACCATACCTATAGAAACATTTATTTATTAATTTAGAAATTGCTTACTAGTTCAGTTTCATTTTCAGGACTGGTTCTAAAAGAAGAACTGGTTGTAAGATGGGATAAGTTRTTAAGATGAGATAAACTATTCAGATAAGTTAAGTTTCCTTCTGAAGAGTCAGGTGTTGGTCCTTCAGGTACAAGTCTACCATTGATTTCTTGGTATTTCATGCCATTAATTGAACATTCCCGAAACTGCATCTCATTTTCTGTCAACGTTCCAGTTTTATCTGTAAACACATATTCAACCTAGAGAGAAAGAACAAAATAAACCTTGTATTCAAGGTCCTTTGTTGAATAACAAAAACTTTGTCTGTCTCTTGAAATCTAGTTGATCTATTAACCTTAGTACACCAATGTTGAGATTTCAAGCATAAGTCCATGCATATACAATATAGATGCCAAGGAAACTAAACAAGGCAACACAAAACATTTTAAATCTATATGAACTTTGATGTTTGTAGCATCTTTAGATACATAATTCCTMTGAAGAACTGACTCACATATAGTATAAGAAATTCATTTCTATCTCATGGGTAAACTATTTTTTAAATAATATAACTAAAAAATTATCACTAAAGTAAGGATATAAGGAATGCCTTATAACCTGGAAAGTGAAAGGATATCTGGATCTGAAGAAATGTCGGAGTAGGAACCCAAAATGATGGCAATGCAAGAGGTCACAGGTGAGAAAGTTGTCCAAAATAGGGAAAACCGAAACAGAGGGCAGGAAACAAATACAATGAAAAAATTAAATGTTTAAAAGAAAAAAAAACATTTTTTAAAAGGTAGTTAAGAAAAATTATTTTAATATTTTTAGAGACTAATTCCAGAAAATTAATCCTAGAAGAGGGTAGGTCCATGAAGAGACAGACACAATGGTTAAGTCTTGATATAACCAGAATTACAGTGAGGACTTGATTCCTACAATGATAACTTAAAAAGAGAGGTAAGAGCTGGGAACGTTGCTCAGTGACAGAGCACTTGCCTAGTGTTCTCAAGGTCTTGGGTTCAATTTCTAGTACTGCAAAATTTAAAAATTTAAAAAATAAAAAATAAAAGGGAGTCACAAGAAAAAACACACCACAGACCAATGAACACACACACACACACACACACACACACACACACACACACCAGATCCAGAAACATATAAAACAGATTATCTACCATGATTATGTGGAATTTATTCCTGGAATAAAAGATGGATTCRACATTAAAAAAATAAAAAAGAATGTAATCTACTGTATTAATAATATTTGTACTTTATTAATAAAATGACCATCCTAATAGATACAGAAAAAAGATTTGACAAAATTCAATGCCTATCATGATAAAAATAACCAACAAACTAAAAATATAAAAAGAACTTCCTCAACTTGATAAAACATATCAAAAAACCCCTCACAGGTACCAAAATATAGAATGCTCTTCTCCTAAATGCAGAGAGARATAAGACATAGATATCTGTTCTGGCCACTTTTATCAACACTGTATTGAAGTACTAGTTAGGGAAATTAGTCCAAAAAAAAGGGGGGGGGGAGAAAGAGAAAAAGAAAAGTTATCCTGATTGAACAAACTGGGAAAATTTCTCCATTTGCATATGAAATGACATTGTATATAAAAAATCCTAAGGAATCCACTGAAATATCTATTAGAACAAATAACCAAGTTCAGCCAGGATTCTAGGATAAAAGAGCACCACTATGTAGAAAGAAGAATTCACCTAAGTTATACTCCATGTATGTATACTATTCAAAATACACTCTACTGTCATGTGTATCTAAACAGAATTAAAAAAAGGAAAAGTAGAGTTTACTGCTTYGACAAGAAATAAATATAAGTAAATGGTGCTGGGAAAACTGGAAATCCATATGCAACAAAATGAAACTGAATCCCTTTCTCTCACCATGCACAAAAGTTAACTCAAAATGGATCAAGGAGCTTGATATCAAATCAGAGACATGGCATCTGATAGAAGAAAAA